AACTGTGAAATCATTAAGAAACGAGAAACTAAAAAATTTGAGAAAACTGATGCATATCCCTCCTCACTCACCTAAGGGCTCATCAGTAAGTCCAGTAACAGAAAAGAAAAACATAAGTTTTAATGAGACACAAAATGAGTGTTCTCAGGAGGAAAAAAAATTAAGTTACTATTCAGTGGGAGATGGGTATAAATGGGTCTAATCGGTAAATAGAAGAGCCTTGTTTTATTTCATATACCCACTCTCCTCCCTCTTAGTCCAAAGCAGCACAACATGTTACAAGTTCACACATACGTTTTCTAGTCTGTGGCTCAGTAACAGGCAAAAGTAAAGGAGTGGGATCCTTATAACACAGAAGAACAAGAAGTCTAACAGGACATGAGGAAGTGCATGTGGGACCAACTTGGTAGGAAGGCCTAGCGTTAAAGCCATTTTTCAGAACCTTGTAAAAGGTTCCCTAGGCTTTTTTCTCCCATTTTTGCAACGCTTAAAAACAAATATGGCACGTATTACTGTCATTGTTGTGGTGTTGGTAAGATAATTGAGTAAAAATGCTCTATTTACACTTGGGTCCCCCTCCACCTGAAAAGCTGAAGCACTTATTTATATAATTTGTAAGTTCAAGAAATGTCCACATACATGTTTCAGTGTTCTCTCTCTCGATCACAACAGTAGTTACACAGGTGTGTCTACTTCTGTATGTGGTTTATATGCACATCAAGAAAGTTTTAAAAAATAGGCGTGTGTAGTCTAAGGGTAAATATTTGTCACATATTAACATTAGTGTAGGTGAGATCTGATTCAATTTTACTACTACTGGGAGGATCCCTAAAAATAAAATATACTAGGCAATCGGAAAGAAGACTAAGAATCTATTGAGGTTGCCAACTCAAGACACAGGTGGCCATGGGGCAGAGTGGATCAACCAAGTATCCCTGGAACTTGATGTATGAGAAAGTCGTCAAGGACTCTACTAAGAATAAAAAGTTGACGGAGAACAAAGAGATATCCAGAGATCCTCTTTCACTACCACTTGTAAATTCTACACAATTCCCTCAATCTCCCACAATGTCCACACTTACCTCTTCCCACCACTTAGCCTTCAGCTATCAAAACACTGGCAATACCTCACTTCCAGAAAACCATGAGACACTTTAGTCTTCCTTTACCCCAGGCTCCCACTCCATCACCTGTGACCTTCTTCTATTTCCTGCTCACTCCTGTTGAAGTCTCTGTCCCATACCATTGAAGCCCTCACCAACAATCCGACACCAAACGTCTCTACTCCACTTCGAGCAGGGGATTGAGAGTAAGTTCCCAGTTATCCCAGAAGTGAGAGATATGTTTCTGAAATTCCACACTGGGATTCTAAATGTATTTAAAAGTTATAATCTTATAAATATATGGTAGTTGAGTTCTATACTTCTCATTTATTATGTGGGAGGGGGTACTTTTTTGATATGTCCTGGAACTTTAACCACCTTTGATAAAATTCAATGAAACAAATGGATCTGTATCTAAAACCTTCTTTCTGAAATACAACTATTTTAAGTTGGAGCCTATCTATTCTTGAGTGCTCTGATCAAGAACCTTTAGTAAATGGTAAAGAAATAGAGAAATCTTAAGAAGAGTAAGCTTGTTTAACTATCTTAATGTAGAATATTACTTGGTTTTAACTTTGCTGTTTTGTTCCAGGTAGGGCTGCTCAAAATATGAAACAATGAAATACAGAAATTACAGCAGAAAATTTCTATGTACATTATCACTTCAAACCAATTTTACCTTATGTTTTTAAACTGTGCAAATATCAAACAATAGTGAAATGTGAGCTGGCTAACATTTTTAAAAGGAATGACTGCTGACAAAAAATTGGAATGAGCACTTAATGAATACCACCATGTCCAACTATAGCTCCATATATAAATTGATATTAATAAGATTAAAGTTTTCTAATTGAGCCTAAATCAATTAGAAGTTATATATAAAAACATAAAAACATTTTGATAGAATTTCTAAATTACCTGCTTTGAACTGGGGGAAATTTCGTTTTCAGATCAAGATAAATACTTTGTTATATGGATTTTTCCTACCTTCAAATAGCTACCTATGCTGCTTCTAAATATGTTCAAGACGATGCAATTTAGGTGGTGGGGAAGGAGGGCATGGAGGGATTTTCACCTTTTACTTTAAATATTTCTGTATTGCTTGAATTCCTTTTTCCAATGCATATATACTTTTAAAAGTTAAAGAAAAAACTTAATTGGAATTGTAAGGGTTGAGAGAACACAACAAAGAAAGAAGTATATTCTTAAAAATGTTTTAAAAGGTGCAACAAACACCACACACTCTTCTATAATTAAACAAGTAATTTATGTAAGAACAGATTTATTTAAAAATATTCACATTTTCTGCTCAACTCACATTCAACAACAAAACTTTACGCGAGGCAGAGAAAAGCAGAACACTGAAAACTCTCAGAGGGGTGGGGGTTGCAGCTTTCGTTTCTTTGCAATTTCTAGTATATCTCAAAACCACTCCTCAGCTCCTTTTTGCTTTTCTCGCAAATATCTTACAGCAGTGGTTCTCAAAGCATGGTCCTCAGACCAGCAGCCCTGGCAAATCCGTTAAATTGTAAACTCACAGGCCTCACTCCAGACCTACTGAATCAGGAACTCGAGGAGGGGTGGGGGCAGCAATCTGTGTTTGTCTGTCTGTTTTTAAAGGCAGACTGCCACATGCAGCACCTCATTTGGATGTGTCTGGAGTCTTGCAAGCTTGACTACCCTACGTTCTCCTACAAATGGACCTTGAGAGCTTGTCTGGAGCTTCTAGCAGGGGAATGCAGCTATTAGTGAACACACTTGACCAAAGAACGGTCCTCCTCTATTGGGGAAGGTCGTCCTCTTCGAGGGAGCACACAGAGCCGGAAGGGATGCACATGGAGTGGTGAGGGAGCAAGGGGATCTTCACCTAGCCAGCCAGATCAACCAAATCAACCCTGGCAATCAATGGGGTGACACATGTCACAGCCAGATCGCCCTCACATCCAGCAATCTGTGTCTTAACCAGGCTTCCAGGTAATTCTGAGTTTGAGAGCAATGTAGTAATGTATAATGGACAACATAGCACCTTCTTATAATTATTTCTGTTTCACAACACAAACTCAGTAATTATCACTTGGTTTAAACACTCCCAGATTGTTTCAGACTAATTTCATACAGATAGTATTAACTTTTAATAATAAAAAATAGAAATTTGAGGCAAGAGGAAAGATAGCACAAACACGAAATATATAACGCTTAAGAAGAAATTTTTAATACATATTTGTGGTGCAGGTCACTATTAACAGATCAAGTATGGGTACTTACTATACGCCTGATATTGTGCAGAGGCCTACACAAGTATAAAATTTATGCTAATAGAGAAAAACATTACACTACTTCCATGACTTCAATTACCATCTATCTATATTAAAGATTCTCAATTGAGGATACTTGAACATCTGCTGTGTGCTCTTTCATCTCATTCTTCCTCACTTACCTGTCTCCCAAAAACACGGCCCAAATGGTTGTCGTTACTGTTAAGAGTCTAGCGTAGACTTCCAGCATACTAGACAGACGAAAGGTTAAAAATTATTGACCTTTACCAGGTAGATCGCTCTCCTTATCTTCTGCTTGCTGGATATTTCCACTTGGAGAGCCAATATGAATCTCGAATTTAATATACCTAAAACTGAACTCATTATTTTGCCCCCACCCAGATCCCCACTCCCCTTCCTTCCTTTGCTCAGTGTATGCAGCACAAAGCTGCCTAAGCCAAAATCTAACATCTTTGACTTCTCCCTCACCTGCCACCATTCAGCCAATCACCAAAGCAATTCCTCTTACTTTCAAAGTAGCTCTAGAATCCGTCCATCCTCTCTGCCACTACCCTGGCCCAGGCCTCCAGCATCTCTCCCCTGGATTAGTGATTCAGATTCCTACCCAACAAATCCTGCCTCTACTCTTGTTGCTCCTCCAGAAAGAGTGTACTTTCTAAAGGGTAAATTTTATTATGTCACTCCATTACTTACAATCCTTCCATGGCTCCCTGCTGCCAGAAAACATGAAATATCTTTCATCATCTGATCTCTCTCTCTAGCTACAAATCTCACAACTCCAGTTCCTGAAAAGCAGCATTCTTTCTCTTTCTTCAACCCTTCTCATATGATGTTACCTCTATCTATTACTCAGCTCTCTTCATTGGGCTAATTTCTATTTATCCATCACGATTTAGTTTCTTTTTTTTTTTTTTTGTGAGGAAGATCAGCCCTGTGCTAACATCTGCCAATCCTCCTCTTTTTTTGCTGAGGAAGACTGGCCCTGGCCTAACATCCATGCCCATCTTCCTCCACTTTATATGGGATACTGCCACAGCATGGCCCGACAAGCGGCGAGTTGGTGTGCGCCCGGGATCCGAACTGGTGAACCCTGGGCCGCCACAGCAGTGCGCGCGCACTTAACCGCTTGTGCCACCGGGCTGGCCCCCCGATTCAGTTTCAATGTTGCTTTTCTCATAAAGCTCTCTCTCACCTCCACATACGTTATACCCGACAGCACCTCCAAGTGCAGTACTTACCATAGTCTACAGTAACCATATGTCTCCCCCTCTAGATTTCAAGCTCTACTGAGAATAGGAACCATGTTTATGTTATTCACAATTATAACCCTAGCACCTAGGCAGCAGTATAGCATGAAATTAAAAACATGGGCTCTGGAGTCAGACAGACCTAAAAAGTGTCACAAGCTGTGAAAATTTGGGACAGTTTCTTAAAATCACTCTGCCTAGTCTTCCTTACCTATCAAATGTAGACAGTACCACCCTACAAGGCTTTTTAAGGATTAAATGTGATATGTGAAGTATTTAGCATAGTGCCTAGTACACAGAAATGACAGCTATTATTATTACTTAATACAGTGCCTATCAAACAAAATATTTGCTGAATGAATACAGTATTCAAAAAATACTAAAAACATATTTATTAATGCTAAGCTCATATAATTCATTATATTTCCAAGTAAAGTTTATAATTCTATAAGGAGGCTTCAGTTTTATTCATGTCCATGGCACTGAGGTTTTCTTATAGCCAATATTTAGTTGAATTATAAAGCAGAATGCTCAAAGAGAATGACCTGTGCCTCACCTTCAGGAACAATCTGTTTCTGAAGTCGAATCTGTTCCAAACCAGGGCTTTCTAGAGAATTTGGGGAAGTATTACAAATTGAGGTAGTTACATTATACCTTGCTGACTGATAAAAGCTGTAGTATTCAAGTCTATTTTCCCCTGAGTTTTCCGGTGTCTTTAGTTTTTGTTTCAATTGAACAACTTTGTAGATCAAAAAAATGATTAAAACACAAGCTAAAATGAAAAAAGCTAGCAGAATGTCAAAAGCCTCATTCAACTTTTCAACTTCTTGTGCACAAATTAGAGATGTTTTCCCTGATACTGAAGCAGCATCAATCGGTAGAGCACTGTTTTTTCCCAAGTTCAAGTCAACAGAAGAAGTAAGCTGTATTTGCACAGGTAACACTGCAGTAGTCTCTAATGGATTACCAAAGGTATTCTCTTGAAAAAATCTACTGGCAGGTGAAGTACGAATTCGTTCCCAGAAAGTAACGCTCTCAGTATTTTCCAAATGTTTCCCATTTGTGGTTACTTTATGCCAGGCCATCATTAACGCAGTGGTCTTGTGATGAATATGAAGAGATTTTATAGCCCAGGCTCTGGATACATTTGTTGAAGAAGTAAGGCAATTTGTCAAGTCAGTCCACTTAATATAATGCAATGCTCTGCCACGCATGGATGGGGGATTCTGACAATAGATGTTTAGAGTAATGGCTGAAGATGCTAGCCAGTCGCGAAGGCCCAATAGTTTGCAGTTACATTCCCAAGGATTAGAATTCGCCTGAAGATGAGTCAATGAAGACAATGGCTTAAGGACCCTTGGGTGTAAGTCTGTAAGATTATTAAATGATAGATTAAGAATCTTCAAAGATGCTCCCATGTTTTCAAATGTATCATCATCAATGCTGATTATTCTGTTTCTATCTAACTTAAGGTAAAGTAAATTCTTTAACAAGCTAAATGTATCAGAATTTAAATTTTCTAAATTATTATGACTTAAGATCAAATGTTTAAGATTATTAATTCCACTAAACCCGTCCCTAGTAATATTTTTAATTCTTGAATTTTTCAGGATGAGATACTCCAAGTTGACAAGTCCTTTAAATGCAAAGGGCTGTATTGCTTCGATATGGTTATGAGACAAAGAAAGTCTTTTAAGACTCTTAAGTACTTCAAAAGCATTTGAAGGCACTTTTGTTAAATTATTACCTTCTAGATACAAACAATCCAGGTTTCCAAGATGTTGAAAGCCCGAGTCTGATATCCTCAAAATTTTATTGTTTGATAAATCAAGTATCCGAAGAGCAATCATACCAACAAAGGTACCACTCCCGAGGACAGTGAGGCGATTCCTTTGTAGATTTAAGTACTGAACTGAAACTAGATCATTAAACACTCCTCTTGGAACAAAAGATACTTGATTAGACTGTAAATATAAATTACGAAGATTGGAAAGTCCCTCAAATATTCCAGGATCCAAGCGTTTTATAAAGTTATTATTTAGATATAAAAAATATAGATGCCTCAACTGAACAAAGGCTTTTGGATATACATACACAATGCGAGAATTATCCAAATACAACGCTACAAGAGAATGAAGTCCTGTTAATTCACTTTCATTTATATGAGATATATTATTTCCAGTCAGATACAGAAAAACTGTACTTTCAGGAAAATTCTTAGGAATACTTGAAAGGCCTAAGTTACGGCAGGTAACTTGTCTCCCACTGCAGAGCTGGCAAACAGACGAACATCCAAGTATCTCTTTACGGAATAATAATACAAGACAACAGGTAACAAGTAGAAACAGTCGTAGGCAAGGCAGAGAAAAACGTAATCCACACATAGCCCTGTTCTTGGTTTTTCTGTTCATATCAGAATTGGCTATAAAAAGAGAAGGTAAAACTTTAAATCATCAAAAAGTTCTTAAAATGAAAGTTTTATAATACTAGAAATTCTGTATTCTATTTTTATTAGGATCAGCCAATAATGCTAAGTATCATACATCATACTATGGTCATAGGATAAAATAATGAGTTTGGAATATGTTCTAGAATTATTAACACCTCCAGGCCATTAACCCACTGTTTGACAAAATGATCCTTCAAATTTAATGAACTGCAAAATAAAATATTTGCTAAGTTAATTTAAAATACAACTGACTATAACAAAAGTGACAAATGATGAAGTAGAGATGATGGTCGTTGGATATTAACAAGTCCCTTCACCAACTTAAAGTCTAATAACAATTAAATAGCATAATTTATGAAAGTACAAATCCATTACAGAGCAAGTAAACTACAGTTTTTCAAAAAACCAAATTATTTTTCATTTCAGCTAAAAGTTCATATTTAAATAAATATTCTTACCAAGAACAGGAAATTCATATTATTAACCGTCAGCTGATTCAAGTAAACGTTTTCTTTCTAAAGCTGAAGAGCGACATGTCTAAACTCCATTTCTTTCTGTGGCACTGTTGACCTCCACCCTTTTTTTTTTTTTTTTCAAGTCACAGTTTGCTCAGGAAACACCACTCTTCACATTGGTTCCTCCACAGTCAGTGTGTAAAACAGAGGTTGCCATGGATACAGGAAACTCAGAGACAGGAAGTAATTTTATCTGTGTTTCAAAAGTATTGTTTAAAGGAAATCTCAGGAACTTAGTTTTTCAGAATGCAGTTAATTTGAGTTAGAATAATGCACCCATCTAAATATTTCATAATTTTAAAAATAACTACTTTTTAAAAAAGGAAACCTGAAAATTTTAAATATTCAGAATGAATAAACTCTATGCATCAACAATAGATAGCTATTGGGTGGAAAAAGCAAGTTGAAATAAGATGTAAATAGAGTAATATAATTTTTGTGACTTTTTAATTGTATAAAATATTTATGTTGTTTTGAATACATATTAGGGGCTTCAACTTTGTTTTATTCCTTAAAAAAAAAAGGTAGCAAAAGCAACAAGCAATGGTGAACACAAATATTGTTACATTATCTTCTGTGCTCTTTTTTAATTCTTCAAAAAAATGTTTGGGTATAAAAAATTTTGAATACTCCCAATTAGTACCTTAATATATTAAGGTATATGCCTTGGGTTGTAAAATGATATAAAGTTGCATATCAAAAAACTGATTAAGGTTATCCTTGGCATGAAAACTTGGGGAGAATGAAAAAGGCCCTTTAATGACTTTTCACCATATATACATCTGAATTAATTTGAATATTTTAAAATAAAAACGTATCTGTGTGCAATATTTTAAGATAAGCATTTAAAGAAGACTATAAATTATTTATATTATATATTGCTTAGTCATTAATTTTCCAAAAAGTTGATTGCTTAGGCTTCCTAATTCTGACTTTTATTAATATTACTAATACCCTGATGATATGCTTAAAATACCAGTAATAATATATATAATTGTATACTATAACTCCCTTTTGATATTAAAGCAGGTTTATTTCATATCAAGACAATTACTTCAGATAATAATATGAATTATTTCCATATTAAATATTTGGTATAATATCCAGCAATAAAAAATCTATGACAACAAAAAAATCAGAGCTGCATACTGGATAACAGGTCTTTATCAAAATGACTTACAATTCTCACAACTATCCTTCGTGGTTGGCTGTTGTTATTGCTATTCTATGGACAAAGAAATTAGGAAACAACCAAAAAAACCAAATGACAGAGAAATGATATGAATTAGAGGTAAAGATGGAACAAGAGTTAGGTTTCTCAAGTCCGTTTTGTTTAGTATTTTCAATGACATACAAAGTGGAATGAAGTATGTCTCATGGATTTTTCAATTGCATCACACAAAGAGTTATGATGGGGGGTACAGGACACGCTACTTCAAAATATAGCAGCCTGGCATATTGAATATTTTAAGCCAAAGGAGTTTGAGAAAAGGACAGAAGCAGGAAGGTCACTCTCTAACCTCCCCCACCACCAGCCACACCTCCACGCCCCCTGCCCTTCTCCCCTGAAATAGGTCATAAAATCCTCATGTGAGAGGTGCCCTCCCTAGGGAGGAAAGGACCATCCTCATCTCCGAAGACGAAGGGACCCAGAGAAGAATCTAAACAAACAGGCCTTGCAAAATTTCCCCCAGTTTACTAGACTTTGCTCTATCATATCTTTCCACAATTTTCCACTCTGCATGAAATCTAGCCTAAAAACACACAAGTTTAACGATTTCTTCAGGTCTTCATTTCATTATGAAGGCTCCTGTGTCAGTAAAACTTATATTAAACTTGTATGCTTTTCTCTTGCTGTCAGTTCAATTTTCAGACCCAGCCAGGTATTTTAAGCGAGTCAAAGAAAACTTTTTCCTCCTCTACAGTTCGGAAAAAGTCAGAGAAATTGTCCATTGAAATCAAAATAAAATTTAAAGAGGTAATAAGATCGAAACATTAATTAATTTTGTCCTCTGTTCCAGAAATATCCAAAGCAGACAAAAATATTTATTCTTATTAGACCTTAGAAGTAAAATTTTTAGAAAATTATACCAAGGAAAAGTGACAGAATAAAATGAATCTTCTATTTCTCATACTGTAAAAACTGAGGTAAAGTGACTACAACAAAGAATAAATCTAAATAACTCATTGTAGCTCTTAGGTTGATATCCAGCAAAATTCCAATATCCAGAAAAACAAAGTTTAGCCTTTCTGTTCATTGAGGAGTTGCTGCCCTTGGAGACAAGTGATCACTACTAGAGAAAATCACAGACAGCAAAATCTCAAAAGCGTTGATGCAGGAATGGAATTCACAGACCTCTTCATCTTACCTGCTATGATCACATCACTAATTAGTGGCAAAACTGGCCATTCAAGTTTTAGATTAGAATGCAAGTTTTCCAGGAAGGTACATTTCCCTGTGCTTTGATTAAGTTTTATCATTTCACAGCAATTCATATTATTTAGGTAATTTTAGATCTTCTCATGAGCTTTAAATCCTGTAACATGTTTAGTAACATCTTATGATCTCCAATGCATAATTCTCCCCAGTCTGGATTTTGACATTTTGATTTTGCTCTGGAATAACACATCAAAATGGTTCCTCATATCCTCTTTCTGATTCCTACTGATTTTCATCAGAACTATTTCTGAACACTACACTCGCCTCCTAAATGGGCTTCCTCCCTTTTCTTTCCAGGAAATTGATGCACTAAATTATTTTTCTCTCATTCTTCTCCCTGAACCTTCTTTTATATTGCCTTTGTCTTCAAGTAATCTCATGCTTCAGGTATCAACACATACCTATTTTCACAAGTACGAGAATGCTAAATAGGAGAACAATTGTTCTATTACCATCTTTTTAAATATATATATTATTTAGATATATAGCATCTATGTATAAATCAATCAAGATGGTTTTACAAATAAAGAATGGTTTACAATAACAATTACTGATCTTACGGTTCTTAAAAGTTACTTATGGATCTTAAAATTAAGAGAATCAAAATTTGAAATGAGGTCTACAATTAAAAATAGTCCAGTAACAACAAAAAATACTATCATTTTTCTCAATGTAGGGAGAAATTTTAACGAAGAACAGTATCTCAATACAGATTGTTTATCAGCTGCAAGGGGAAAATATAGTAACTACGCAGTGGAGAAACCAAACAACACCTTGAGCAGAATTAACATCACTAATGAGAAGCAGGTGGACACCATGTGCTGCTTGATGTGGTATTTCAAGAGGGACACATCACTTATGTAATATTCCAACCAGGGATGCATGATCTGAATCTAATCATGAGGAGGGCCGGCTCCGTGGCTTAGCGGTTAAGTGCGCACGCTCTGATGCTGGCGGCCCGGGTTCGGATCCCGGGAGCGCCCCAAGGCACCACTTCTCCGTCCAACGTGAGGCCGAGTCCCACGTACAGCAACTAGAAGGATGTGAACCTATGACATGCAGCTATCTACTGGGGCTTTGGGGGGAAAAAACTGAATAAATAAAATCTTTAAAAAAAAAAAAATAAAATAATCATGAGGAAACATCAGACAAACTTCAAATGAGGACCATTCTATTCTGTTGAGAGAGAGGGATAAAGGAAGGAGGGAGAGAGAGAGAGGACTGTATTCTTCAAAAATGTTAGTCATAAGAGAGAAACACAGACTCAGGAAATGACATCACAGAGTAAAAGAGACTACAAAGACATAATGCAACCACAGGCCCTTTAGGACCAGTCCAAACTGATCCATCTGGTCACCAGAGTAATTAAGAGTTGCTTTTCAGGTACTAAGACCCCTTGTCCAGTTCAGGCCAGTTGAGACCACCATCAACTTTTTGATTTTGATTTGCCTGCGCAAACGCCCGATAAATGCTTTTGACATCAAAGGGCTGAAAACTCCACCCTCAGATCATACTAACACCTCCATTTTGTGAACATGCATCCTATGAAGAGCCATGGAGCTTGACTATGCTTGTGCAGACCATCATTACCTCACTTCTCCTTACCTCCAATCATCTATCTCCACACTTCAGACTGCCTTGCTCTTCACCCCATAAATTTTGCCCCAAGCTCTAGATTTAGGAGACAGGTCTGAGAGCTTATGCCTCCTGTCTCCCTGCAGATTTATCTCGTAATAAAGCTATATTCTTTTCTCAAAAGCTGATGCGTTAATAATTGGCTCTTTGTGCGCATCAGGCAAAAGAACTCCAATTTTGTGCGGTAACAGTAACAACTAAATGCAATACCTGATCTGAGACTGAAATACTTCAGTGTAAAATGCCATGATCTATGCCACTTACAAGCAAATGGTTCAGAAAATAAAGCATCATGTGTGTTGTGTGTGCATGTAATATGTGTATACACACACATCGAGAGAGAGAGAAAGAACACACACTAACAATGCCCAGGCTCTCATGCTCATGGGACTTAGAGACTAGTGCGGTAGATAGTCATTTAAAAAGTACTAGACATCCAAATGTCCCTCAATGGCTGAAGGTGATACATCCATATAATGGAATACTATTCAGCAATTAAAAAAAGAACATTCTAATGACACATGCAACAGCTTGGATGAATTTAAAAGGCATTCTGCTGGGCCGGCCCCATGGCTTAGCGGTTAAGTGCACGTGCTCCGCTGCTGGCGGCCCAGGTTCGGATCCCGGGCATGCACTGACGTACCGCTTCTCCGACCATGCTGAGGCTGCGTCCCACATACAGCAACTAGAAGGATGTGCAACTATGACATACAACTATCTACTGGGGATTTGGGGGGGAAAAAAATAAAAAAATAAAAGGCATTCTGCTGAATGAGAAAGCCAGTCTCAAAAGGTTATATACTGCCTGATTCCATTTATATGACATTCTCAAACAGACAAAATTATAGTGAAGAGAATAGATCAGTGGTTGCCAGGAGTTAGGGGTCAAGAGGAGGATGTGATTCTCAAGGTATACAGCAAAAGGGAATTTCCTCAGGTGAGGAAACTGTTCTTCTGTATTCTGATTGTGGTGATGTTTGCACAAATCTACACGTGTTAAAATTTACAGTAATGTATACCCCCCAAAAAGTCAATTTACTCTATTTAAATTTAATTTTAAAAGTTTAAAAAGAGTCCTTATATTTTAGAATACAAATATTTGTGGATAAAAAGTAAAATACATATAAAAAACTACTAAAACACTTATTTGATTTACAATCAAGATCAGTTTTATAACAGAAAAACAAAGA